TTTTCATTTTTATATGATGTGCAAATCTTCCTCTGTAGATGCCACTTACGCCATCCCACGAAGGCAAGTGGCAAAGGGTTATTCTTATTGTTTTCTTTTTCTTATCTCTGCGCCTTATCGTTTTCCTTTTTTTGTGTTTGTTTATGTATTTAACTTCAATATTCTATTATGTCATTTTATGTCATTTCATTTTATATTATTTTATTTTATTTTATTTCATTTTATTCTATATCATTTTACTCTATTTTGTTTTATTCTATTCTTTTACTCTTATATTTCTTTTCTTTCTTTTCGTTTCTTTTATTTCTCTTTCAAATTTTCACTAAGAAAATGCTTCTAGCGGTTTGTTTGTTATATCTCATCAGACTTGTTTATTTCCGGAGCACTTTCCATTATGCACTGTTAATTTATCTTATGAACTGTTACTTTACATTTCACTACTTTTCACAAGCTCTATAAATTCTATTGCTTTAGATTTATAGATTTATTACAGTAACTTCATTTTTCTTTGTGTAAATAAAATTTTGAATGTCTTGCCTTCAGCATACCCTTGGCTCCGAATAGCGTCCGAGACATTTTCGCTTAAAATCATGCCTAAAACAGTGCTGGAAACGTGTGGTTCGTGCTACATATGTTATAGACATGGCGCTATTCCTGCTTTACGGTTGCCTTCAAAGAATTCGATCCTGTTCAAAGCATAGACAGTCGACACAAGTACACTGTTGCCACTGCCCCTCGACAACAAAAGAAGATGGTTTCTCAGTTGCTTCTGATATAGTTGTATGAATATGGATCCAAACACCCTCGTTGCTACTTGGATCACCCTTTTTTAAGGCTGTGGGATGAATATGTCGGCGTGTGAATCATGATCATAGTAATGCCTCGACTTGGCTTCAAAGCATTTTAGCGAATTTGTTTTGGCAAATTTGTGTAAAAATTTATATAACTGATAACTTCCGGCTCTGAGATATCTCCCCTAACCCTGCCTTGAAAGCTTCACTGGTAGAATATCGACGTAGAATTATCCCTAAAATAATAATCTTTTGGTTTATAATTGAGCTTTTGAACTATATTTTCATATTGTAAAATATCAACTGTATTCATTGTTTTGTTTTTTGGGTTTTTTTTTCTACATAAAAGAAGGCCGTATTGTTGTCATTTACTCTGTATATGTGGGAATAAGAGGAATGAAAAAGAAAAATAACAATTTATAGAACATATGAGGTCTATTGAAATCATATATCCTATGAAATGTTGCTTTTCTTTCGTAATTTAGACTGCATTGCAGGAAATAGAAGAATGATCTACAGATCTTCCTAGGTACTTTCTTTAGGTGTTCTTTGTAGACTTTACAACCATTTGTCCTCAACCAGCTCTCCACAGGTTGCTGCCAGCTCTACCTATAAGTGTTGGTGGGGGGGGGGCGTTTTCCATAAGAGTTGGCCTTTAAAATCGCTATTTGGGGCTTATGTTCAAAATAGTAATTATATTTTACCACAGCTTACATATTTTAATACACTGAGTAAATTTATCCGCTTCTGTTTGTATTCCGCGCAATAATGGTGTGTGGAATCCCTTTTTCAATCAGAAATAATGCTTGTTTCTTTGAGATTTCATTACAGGTAAAAATAATGTGTCAGTTTAAAAAGTCTAGCTCAAAAAAATGAAAATAAAAACAAAAACAAGTTGTCGCAATTGTTACAAGAGGCAAAGAGATGAACACTGGGATACTGAATATGATTACAATCTAATACATATTAGTTGACCATGTTTTACCATAGTTATGCCTTTTCAAGGGAACACCTGCATTTTCTTCAAATGAGACATATTTTTTTGGTTATTTTCTTGGGAAACTAAGCAATAGGAAAATAATACTTGTTTCTTTAGAGTCAAGGAAAGTGATATTAGGAATTGGAAATTGTTATCTGTTGGGCCTTTTTAAAAAGAAAAAAGCAGTTTCGTGATTTGATTGAAAGTTGGCCAACTTTGGGGCATCGGGTTCGGAAACAAATATATGGAAAATCGTTAATTCAGTTCCTTAATTATACTTTTACTCTTTTGCGAGTCTAAGTCAAATTTAGATAATTATACCATTTAGCATACTTTACATCCATCTTTTTAGTGGGAACCAAGGGCTTAAAATGGTTGAAAGTCCTATACAGTTTCTGGCCACTGGAAAACAAGTCACACGCACAAATTTCTTGCGAACATTAGGAGTCAACAACAACAAAAATACAGGGTTATTTACGAGCTTGTTGAGCCCCTCTTTCTTGTTGGGAAAGATGAATGGTTAACGATTAAAAACTCAAAATAAATGTGCTAGACATCAAAGGTTATGTAGTACCATAGAGTAGGGAGGGAGTATGGCTTCACAAAGAGTGAGACCAAGTTTGCATCTGAGAGTTGCTACCTTAGATTCAAACTTGTAGGTGGGGCAGACTCTATAAAATACATTATGGGGGCGCCGCAGTTAACACGGGTGCGTGTTTGTGAAGGGCAGTTTGATCGGTTATGACCGGGTTTGGCACAGAGGGGGTATCGGTCTGTGGGGCGGCAGTGTTTGGCAGGATGTCCAAATCGCCAACAATTTTAACATTGACGGGGAGGAGGTTGGTATGGTCGAACAAGGAGGGATTGTCCACCAATGTAGATACGAACGGGAAAGTCATGTGTACTGAAAGTAATTTTGGCAATTTTGGTAGGTTTCTTTCGATGACCTCAAGGAGAAATGGAGTAGCACTGTACTGATATCACATCACGGTCTTTGAGGCAGCCGAGTAAGTACTCTCCACAATCTGACCAGTCGATATCCATAGGGTAACATGCAGGGGAGATAGAGACAGTTCCGGTATGAAAGTATACAAGTAAGTGTATCTGTTGTTGGTAGTTGGATGAGGTTATGCAGGAATGGGGTTGCCAGAGAGATCAGTTAGATGTGATAATGCTATAGCTTCAGTTTCAGATATATCTGTAACGAGACGGGAACGATCGGGTCGGGTACGGAAGGGGTCTGCAAACTTGCTCTTGGAGACATTGTTAAAAGAGAAGAGTGTTGCCTGAGTAAGGAGCTGTAGGGGGGATCACGAAAAATCGGTCCCATTTGGCAGGGCTAAATTGAGTATTTAAGGTATTTGTAGAGTTGTGGGTGGTAGAAGTACGGGGACGTGTGGAAGAGGGAGTATTGTTGAGGGGGTGGTATTACGGAGAGATGGAGACTAAGAATGTAAGGTAGTAATAAGGGAAGAGTAGGTGATTGGTGAAGAAGGCTAAGGGGGTAGAGGTGATGAAACTGAGGAAGTTGGGAGTGGGAAGTTAGGGAAATAAAGTGTCCACGCCTCAGGGTCCCCTTGAGGGGTAAGGGCTAAACAACTAAAACAGGAGTACCGTGCCCATGGTTCCATCTGGCCGTTCAGAACTGGTACGAAGTCAGCTTTTCATCCTTTCTGCCCAGCTCATATACCTTATGGTATGGTCAGACTACCCATAAATTCCACTAGAATCCGGCGATCTTCTGTGGGCTGGAACCAACCCACCCATCCGTGGTGTTCACACCGCGAAAAGGACTATCGGATTTGTCCAGTGGAAACTCGCTAAGGATCCCGTATCTTCTTCCTAACTCTTGCTATCCTTTCATGTTTCCGGAGTTCTAAACTTTTCTAGGAGGGAGTAAATTGCTTCAGAATTCCACATTTCGACTATTCACGGGATCTGCAGTTTCAGCTTGAATTGGCGGCTACGGGTTTGTTTATATTCGTCAGTCAAATGAGAATCCATAGTCAATGCTTTTGATTTTACTTTTATTTGTATTTCAGCTTAAATCTAAATGGAAATATTGATGTACAAGCGGCCTCTATAAAATATTATGTGAGCCACCACAATTGACGTTCGTGATTGTGCTTACTAGTTTGAACTAGATAGAATACTGTGCCTATGGCTCCTCTAGACCATTGATGTCAAACTCATGGCCCGTGAGGCAAACTTGGCCTCAGGATGATCACAAGTGGCCTGCGGGATAGCGAAGAACCATTAGCCTGGAAAATTGTGATACTGATGGAAAATGTCAAATACACTTGTTATACTGTACGATATGTTAGTTACCCCCTGATGCCCACAACACTACGTTTTCTGTTACCCTTTGTCCCTTTGATATAATTTCTTAATAAAAGAATATTCATATGTTGATGACTAGACTAAGTTTTCCTAATGTATACTAGAGGATTATTACAAATTATATTGTGTAAACAATATTGTAAATAAACGCCAGGCCAGAACCTGTTACATTCAGCTCCCTCAACCATCGCTCCTGCTTCTTCAAATGCTTTGTTGACAAGTGTGGGTCTTGTGAAACCTCTAAGTTTCCGTTAGTGTCATCAGTTATCTAATAAATTAAAAAACGTTTAGGTAAGTGCTGCAAGTTTTCATCCTCTGTCGGACCTCCAGGTGGGAGCTGAAATTGAAAGTGCCCCACGAGGGGTTTCGAGTTTGACACCCCTGCTCGGGGCAGTTCATCACTGGCACAAATTGGGTCTTCCATCCTCTCAGCACGGTTCTCACACCCCAGGGCGGATAGGAGAAAGGGTTGAGAAGACAAGGGGAAGGAAATGTGAAGATGCAACGACCCTACCCCCTCCCTCCCACGACAACAATAGACACGGGATCGGGGGGTGGGGCATGGACAGAATTTTTGAAAGTCGGTCTTGTTAAGCTGTTTCTTTTACCTGCACATGTATAACCTGTAATGGGTTACCCGATGACGAAGGATAGGTTAAAGGTTAATGGTTGAAACAAATAAATGTGCTAGAATCTAAGGTCATATAACACTATGGTAAAGGTATTGTGGTGAAAAGGGGGAGTTAACCATTAGGGTAGTGTTAAATATAGGTTATAGAGTGTTGTAGGATAGTTTGATAGGAAAAGGGGTAAAGAGAGGGTGCAAATGAAGAAAACCGGAGATTTAAAAAAAAAGGGGGGGGGGGATTAAGGGCATAGGGCCATTGGCT